TGCTGAACCCAAATCCTCTACACCTCAGCTCAAAGGAGGAGGTGAAAACACACAAACCCACAAGGCTGAGCTGCTGTTTCATACTTTTTACGAGATGAGCCAGCCTCTTCACGAGGGCTGAGCCCGAGCTGCACGAGCATCTTAAAGCTGAAGTTATGATAATAACAGAAATAAGAGACAGAAATTCAATTTATGCCCAAAAAGCACAGTAGCCAACATCACCTTCACATCATAGCTAGGTTAGACACCGTTTGCTCAGCAATTTTTGACATTTTATTTACAGCCCTCCGCTCCAAAACTCTCCAGGGCAAGGAAGCATCCCACGACACCTCACAAATCTGGGAGGAAGGGGAGAGGCTCCTTGAGGGTAGGTTAGGGATGAACGCCGCCAGAGACCTAAACTGGTGGAATATCAACTAGTTACGGGGTCCGCTCCAACCCGCACAAGATTCGATACGGGCGAGCAAACCCTGGATGCCCCGAAATCACCCCAGCACAACTCCCGTCAGCCATCAACACCCAGACACCCACCACTGGCGCAGCAACAGAGGTGATGCTGGCTGATGCCTGCCCACAAAGACCCCACAGCCCGGGGACGGGCACACACCCCAGCAAGGGCAGCCAAACGCACGGCCTGCCTGCGGGGGACAGGCGGCCAAGGGATGCATGGTCTTTGCCTTTACCCTCCAAAACGGATTCAAGGACGAGGGATCACAAGCAGCAAGGAAGCAGCTCCTGTTATGCTAACACACAACATACACATACGTGGACTCATACATGCGTGCATTACGTGTAAGTTTTAAAAAAATTTGGCATTTAAAATCACGTTTGTCCCGTTTCAGCAGAAAAACATGACAGAATCACACTCTTGCATGGGAGATGGGAAAAGCAAACCATCACGGGAAAACAAAGTACAGTACAGAAAAAAAACCCTTAGATTTACCCCTCTCTTCAATTCCATACTCAAATACTATAGTTTTTTGTTTTTTTTAAATCAAACACAAGAAAAAGATTAAAGTGTCCTTCTGCAAGTACAAAAGCTGTTCCACGCACCTCCTTCTCTGAGCCAGCACATCAAGGCTCCTTAATAAAGCATTTTTGATATAAGTTCTTTACATAGAACATCTCTTATGAGACAGAAGTACAAAAAATTGCATTTATTGTATTAAGGAAAATAGGTGGTTATTAAAGGCTATTATTATTACTTTTTTCAAAATCAGAAGTTCATTAAGCAAGAACTAGGAGTTTTAAAAAGAAGATTGCTCTAAATTATAAGCAAGTAGGAAAGACACTTTTGACCTCCTGGGACAGGTGAAAGTTTCTACTACATGAAATATTAAGAGAAAAAAAATCTGATTTATCCTCTCTTATTAATACAATTATGCTGATGAGCTCTCTTAGGCTCCAGGCTACACGCTAACAGCTGTATATAAATTACAAATGTCTACAGAATGACTCAAGGGCAACAGGTCACCAGTATTACTGCCAGCTGATGTCATATGCGCCATAAACTTTATCAACAGCATAAAGACTTTGGAGTATGAGCTCATGCTTTCCAACATAAGGAGGTTTGTCTTAATTGTCAAACTGCAGCACGGGTCGCTACGCGTTCCCACTTGCAAGGGGAGACCACAGTCAGCAAAGACATTCACGTGGCTCATAACAGAACTGAAAATAGGACAAAGAAGTGACCAAGGAAACATGTGCGCGCAGTTTTCTGTGGATAACTGAAGAAACTGAATCCCACTTCCCCACTGCCTCTATAAAACAAAGCTCCTGGAAAGCTTTTCCTCTGGTCCCACACCTGCTTTGTCTATTTGAATTTTTAAGAGAACAACTGTGGATCCCGAGAGCAGGGAAGCAAGAAAGGACAGGGAGAAGGTGTTATTCATTTTACATTTTAAAACAAACGAGCTTGTCTATCCCACCACAGCAGGTAAAAGGTTAAAGAAACAGTGTCCTTAATCTGAAGGGGGAGGTCAAACAAGCCCAGCTCAGCCTTCTTTTCTTTAGAGGTATGTTAGGATGTGATAAAACATAATGAATCATTAACTTGCTAGCATTGCATGTTTACACCTTTTTTTTAAAAAAGTTGTGAGCCAAGAGTAACTGTCCAATGAAAACAAGTGGCCAGAAGGAATGCTCTTACTCAAACATACACAATTTCAGACTGCCCATATGCCATTCTTTTGTTTACCACAGATTCCAACCTCTTAACCTCAATTAAACCCTAAAAGCTCCAGCAAATGCACTGCAGATGAATTAATAAAAGCTGAAGTCAATCATCAGCCTCTGGGACACCCTATAGGTTGTTTGGTTTTGTTGTTTGTTTTTTTGGTGGGGTTTGGTTTTTTTGTTGGGTTGTTTGGGTTTTTTTTGGTGTTTTGTCTTTTGTTTTTAAAACAACATCACTTCATGCTTTATCTCCCTAAGAAGTGCATTTTGAGATGTAATTGCTTGGTCAAAGGCCTGGCGGCCTATCAATGAAACAGTCAAAGGCACTATTTATTTGTATTCTTCTGGTATCAGCCAGGAGGCTTATTAGTGCCCAGAGTGATGGCACAGCTTATTTAGCACTGTTTATTTTACCTAAACACATGTGCAGTGGAGCTTTGGAAAACACGCCTGTCATTAATTTCAAGACTCCTCTGATTAAACAGCTCAAACACAGCCATGAAAACTCATTAAGAAAAACCTTCTAATCTTCCCCTCCTCTCTCCCATGCTCCTGGAGCTGCCTCCCAGCACCGGAGCAGAACCTCAGCACTGGCTCAGTGAAAGCGGGAATGGCTAAGGTTTGCCCCAGTGAGAGGGATAAGACCGATGGAGCCCTCCAAGGGAGGAGGACGATGTGGAGGAAGGAGATTGTTGGCTTTGGGTATCAGCGGGACAACCAGCTAAACCATCTCACGCAGCCCATATACACAACGGCACAGGGATGACTTAGCACCGCTGAGTTTGGGGCCACACCATGGTCAGCCTGTCTGGAAGCAGGTCTCATCTAAACAGCCAGTGGGTTTGAGTAGCCTTATGAGCACTGCTGTAGACATTGTCTACATCAGTCTGTGTGAATCAGGTCCTAATCCTGATTTCAGCCTCTAGGTACTGCCACAACTGCATCTCAAGGGGATAAAGCAAACAGATGAATAAGCAATCACCTACCAACTCAGAGTAGCAAAACAGAACAAAGTCGTCCTCTATCAAAAAAAAAAAAAAGGACCACATAGGTAATTGTGCTTCTCTCAAAAACACCTGGAAACATGCTTTGTAAGTTTTATTACAGTAAAACATCTTGGGAAAAAAAAACTGGCTTTGCTACAGCTGACAGAAAACGAGCATCTTCCTGATGAAGCCTTATCAGAGCGGCCCTACAGAGTCCCATCAAAAACTGTCCAGAAATGTTAAGACTCTTATTAACGTCTTAGGCTCCTAAGAGAACTAGACTCTTAGGCTGCAGTTTCACAATCAGCTTAAGCAGCTTTAATCAAGGCAGCCCTGCAGCAAGACAGACAGACAACCTCCTGGAAACAAACCTGCCTTTGGCAGCAACCCACGCTTGGGCCGCATCCAACTGATGAAACACGGACCTTAAAACAGAGAACCCCCCTCACCTACCAGGTATTTTATCCCCTCGGAGGCATACTATAGAGCACCGGCTCTATCTGCAAAACAGAGTAACAAAGAGCCTGAGCAAGTAGAAGATGTAATGATGGTATGTATTAGCCTTCCCCAGCAACTTTAACACCCCACCCACCTCCTCTGACTATCCCCCCCCCAAGAAAATGAAAGTTTCTCTGCATCAGGAGGGGGGGAAAAAAAAAAAAAAGGTTGCTTGTCAGGGTAGAAGACAAGACTGAAGGCAGACAGCTTTATGTCATGGCTGCAGCAGGTGTGAAAAATGCCACCTACAACCAACAGCCGGGACAACCAGGTCATGTCCTGCAGTGACTTCCCAGGAGTACACTGACTTGTCAAACGTATCTGCCTCAGCGTCAACTCATGACTAGCACAACACATCCAAGGACAAAGATGCCACAAAGAGGTAAGGTACTGAATTTGGTGTCCACATGCTGCTTTTAAGGCAGAATACACACCTGCCTTCAAGCACTGAGCACTGCTTAGCAGGAAGCCCCTACGCAAAGCCACTGAATGAGGAATACCAAGATACCTTCCCAGTCGTTTGGGTGTTCCGAAGGACTGAATCCCAGAACCGATGCAGCTTGACCACAGGACAGGTGCCACATTGGCAGCAAAGACCACTGGCCTTCAGTCCACAGATGTGGGAGATGCAACCCCAGCAGGCCTTCTGCATCTGCTAGCAACACCTATTAGATCTGACTGCAGTCCTCTCACAGGGATGGGGTGTGAGCCTGGCTCCCATCTTTCCTTTGGGGTTTTAAAAAGGTAAAATGTGAGATGCCTCTAAAAACTCCAGGGCTGTGGAGCCCAAGCAGACTTAGTCATCACCCTGCA